CTCTTCCAGCTCTGCTTCCATTTATAATTATTAATATAATTTCATTTTGTAATATGTGTGTATTGGTGTGTTGTGTGTGTGTGTGTGGTGTGTTGGTGTGTGTGTGTTTTTAAGTTTAACTATAGTTATCACATCGTATATATAATATATATATAGATAAATTTCATTTCGTAACAAAAGCAAAAAGTTCAAAATTACAAAAAAAATTAAAATACGTAAAAAAAAAAAAAACAAATGTTAAGTCGGGGCAGTATTTGATGTAGCACTAATTACTAAACAATTTGAGTGTGTTATAAATTAGAACAAATAAATAATTTTTTAATGTTTTAACACCTCAGATTTAGCTCTTTCTTTTTAGGCAAAGAAACTTATAACAAATTTCAAAAAATTGCACAAAACTACTTAGTGAAAAAGATATGTAAAAAAGATAAATATATATACATCTATTGATATATATATATATATAGAGGGCTGTATATACAGTGGCTTATTAAAAAAATGCTGCAAAAATTATATTTTAATATTAGATATAAACTAAATTGTATAGAGACTGGTTAACCGAACGCGCCCGGCACTCACATGCATCTATCAGTTATCGGCTATATTTATATGTATATATATACCTAGGGTTATTGCTGATATAATACAATGTGGGGGGCTTTTGGGAAGCTAGGGCTAAGGCTGACTGGGGCGAGGGCTTTCAATTTTTGCGCGTTTTTTTCCCATTATTTTATGTTTACTTTTGTTCTGCATTCACTCTCGCACACACACGTGTTATATTATGTATATGTATATGTATATAAATAAATTAACATTTTGCAGTTTGTTAATTAATTAATAATTGTATACTAATAGGGCATCGTATGCATATGTCTTCCAGATTTAACATTAAAACGCACATATAATAAATATTTTCTTCTTTTCCTGCTACTATTTCGATTATGTACTAAATATATATATATATATATTTATATGCTGTATAAGTATAGAGTTGTGTTTTTTGATTTTTATAATATTTTACAGATTTTGTTTTATATTTAACATGATTATTACATTTAGATGTGAATTAGCTGCACACACAGAAAATCTCGAGCTTAACAATGTCTTTGTGCCTTTTACTTTTTAAGAAAATCTCTCATGATTATGTTTAAAGTGAGTTCAAAGTGCATATAGTCGACTATATATATATATAGGTATAGATATAGGTCTGTTTAGATTTGCTGCAAGCGTGCGCACATTAGTGTTAAATGCAACAACAAAGGGGTGCAAACAGTTTGGCACATAATTTGCTCTAGGGTTGACAGAGAAACAGGGTTGTCAGGTCTACCAAAAACAAAAAAAAAAAAAAAAAAGGTTTATATACTAACAGTTAGTTAAAGTTTTAAAGTGCTGATCAAATATTTACTTGAAGATTTTTATATATATATATTTAAATATTTTTATATATATTTTTAATGCACAATCTCTTTAAAAGTTCTCTGTTTGGCTGCCTTGGAAACCCTTTTTTGTAAGTTCTTTACAAATATTGTTAAGTTCATCTTCTATATATGTATTGTAACTATTGCATTAGCAAACATTTGAATCCTGTTGAAACCATGAATCGTGCACAGATCAGCGTTTGATTCCATACTTTATCCACTTTTCGCATCTTCCCCTTTCTTTCCCTATATAATTGACAAATAAATTTGGCTTACCATAATATTTTGCAATGCATGGTCAACATTTAAGAATTCATTCAGTTAATTACATACATATATATATATATATATAGATATTGGGAATATTTATATATACATATATATATATATATATATATATATATATATATACTTTATATATGCATATGCTTAGATCTGAGTATCAATGTTGCTGCTGCTGTTGTTGCCAATGTTTATGGTGGCAGCTGTCTGTTGAAGTTTCTAGGATTACAATTATTATGATTAGCATTAGCATTAGCATTACTATTAGTGGTTGTGGCTGTTGTAATTGTATTAGCTTCCATTTGATTGGCATTTGTTGAATTGTTGCTGTTGCTATTGCACCTGTTGACAGCAGCAACATCATCAGCAACAGCCGCTGCTGTTGCTGCTGCAGCTGCACACGGCGCCAACTGTTTCAGCTGCTCCATATAATGATTGAAGCTGCGTCGCATACAGCTGGCCATGACCCCCGGCTCCTCCTCCAGCTCATTGTCGTCGCTCTCATCAATGACAATCGTTTGCGTTGGCTGCTGCTGCAGCTGCTGTTGGCGATGTTGCTGCTGCAAATGCATGTTGCTGCTGTGTTGCTTGGCCTCAATGTGTGGTTGATAGTAGTTGCGTGCATAGAAATTGAGGGGCTGTGCCCGGCGTAGTAGATGTTGCTGTTGCTGCTGTAGATGTTGCAGCTGCTGTTGCTGTTGCTGCTGCTGCTGATAGTTGCTGACAAAGTGCGGTGGCTGTTTCATGGTCGACTCGTCTGGGCTCCATGCAGCATAGTTCCAGGCCAGATACTGGCTGTATCATTCGCTTGTTGCATTGTGTTGCTGCTGCTGATGATGCTGCGGCTGCAGCTGTTGGTGCAACATGTGCTGCTGCGCCAAGGCCTGTGCATGTTGCTGCAACTGTTGCTGTTGTGACTGTTGTTCGCGATGTTGCTGCTGCTGCTGCTGTTGCTGCTGCTGTTGTTGTTGCTGCTGCTGTTGCTGTTGCTGCTGCGCCGCGGAAAATGCTGCTGCTGCCGCCGCTGCCATCGCCGCCTGAGATGCGGCCGCCAGCTGTGTGGCCGTAGGCGTGGCCGCACCACCGCCCACCGCCGTCGCCGTGGCGGACATCAGGTTGTCGAACTTGCGCGTGTCCGGATTGTACATGGGATGCTTGAACTTGCAATGGGTCCGCAGATTGTCGCTGCGCGTGTAGGTGGCGCGGCACAGCGGGCACTCGAATCTGCCGGGGAAGTGGACGTGGTAGTGGTTGCGTATGTGCGTCACGACCTTGCCGCACAGCTTGCAGCGATGCAGGTTGCAGCCGCCGGAGAGGCGCTCGAAGGTGAGCCGCATGTGCCAGGCCTTCGAGCCTGCTCGTATGCGTATTTCATTTATTTTCATTTTAAATTTATATTTGTTTAATTTTAATTTTCAATTCAGTTTTTTTATGTTTTCAAATATTTAGTTTGGTTTTATATATTTTTAGTTTGTTTGTTTTTTTGTTTTTGTTTTTTTGGTTTGGTTTTTTCGTTCAAACGCGTAAAGAAAAAAGAAGAGAAAAACAATGTTGTTGTTGGTGATTCACAGAAACAGAAAAATTATTATTTTTATAATTATTCTTAAGCTGTTTTGTTTTTTTTTTTTTTTTTTTTTTTTTTTTTAACTAGTTGCCCTTGCTTTTTATTTATATTTTGGTATATTTTTTTTATAGCCAATGAAGAGTTTGCAGTAATTTATTAACTATATATAATGTGTTAAGACGTGCGATCGACGTCTTTTCTTGATTTTTAGTAAGATATATGTATATATATGTATTTGAGGGGGGGTTGGGGATAAACCATGATAGGTGTATGTGGTGGGTTGGTAGGGGGTGTACTTCAACGAGTTAAATAAAGTTTTTATTTCGCAATTTCAATTTCGAATCGAATTTCAAATATGATTTACACGCAAAATTTTGTTACACCCAAAACAAAAACAAAATTAAATATTTTGATTGGGAATAGAAATAGAAGTGGATGATAAACCAATTCATAAGATAACAATATAAAAAAAAAATTAATAAATTTCACATTGAGATATTTGCTTAAATTATTTATTTACATTAAACGAACGATTTTTTGAAGAAACCCAAACCAAATAACGTTTATAAGAAATATATATATATATAATAAATTCACATATATATATATATAAGTAAATGCAATGAGAGCTGTGTTTTTGTTTGGGATATATCAATTTTGTTGCTTTATAATATATGTATATATATATAATTTGTTTGTTATATGGTGGCTGATGAGTGTGTTGGATGTTTTGTTTCGACTGTTAATATTATATTAAATTTCTCTTGGATTATAATTGATTTTATTTCCGTTTAAGCCGAAACCGTATTAGTTTCAAAAATATATATATATATTGTACGGGTGTTGAGGGCAATTTTTTTATTTTTGATCATTTCAGGGAAATGCTAATGTGAATATACAGAGAGGGTTAAATAATAGAGGGGCCAGAATATAAGACTCAAAAGAAATTTGCAAAAAAAAAAAAGTAATAATAATTGTATGTAGATAATGTGGATAAAATATATTTAAGCGAGATTCGCTTCAAATCGGAAATTTGTGGCATATACGAAAATATATTTTCAACACCCCTCCTGCCTGCTGCATACGAAAACATATATATATTTACTATATAGTAAGAGAGCTCAAATAACGGCAAAAATATATATAAACGAACCCTTTTCAAAGACACAGAGTAAGACAGTAACAGCGTAAGAGAAAGAGAAAGAGCGCAAGAGTGTGTGTGAGAGAGAGAGAGATAGACGTAATAGAATATTGAAAGTGAGTGAGTAAGAGCGTAAGTGTTTCAAAAAACATTTTAGATATATTATTGTATATATAGAGAGAAAACATTTTCAATTGTTTTTGGCCAATTCCTGTTTTTTTTTTCGTCCATTAATTTTTATAAAAATTTTAAATTTAGCTTTTTGTTTTGATTTTAGATCTTTTTTAGATAAAATAGAACACATACATAAAACAATACGTAACTTAAGATTTTTATGCATTACAATTTAATTTAACATATTTAAATCAACTTAGATTTATTTGGTTAGAGCTTAGAAAATGGAAACTTACCGTAGGTAGAGAGTGCGCTTGTAGTTCTTTATTCATTATTATTATTATTATTTGGATTAATTGAAATCGATAACGATATTATTTCATATATATATGAAACTGATATTAAGTTGTTTGATTGATCTTTTTGGGTTAGTTTTAGTACCTAAAGGCTGATTTCTTTTTAGAATTGAAAAGAACTGGAATTTGATTTGAAAGAGTTTTATTAAGTAAAGTTAAAGACGTTAAGTAATATTTGCTGGTTTGATATTTTGTTTGCATATTTGGATTTCATTTGTTTAAACTACGACTATTTTTGCTTTTAAAATACATTTGTTTATTGCTGATCATAGAGTGTGAAATAGATTTAAAGTAACTTTAGCAAACCACTTTCAATAATATATATTTGTTTATAAGTTGAAAGATGTGATTATGAAAATATGCAACTAATCGAATTCGGTGGGTGTTTTGCCAAAGATACGAGAAACATATTGTATTTGTAGTAGATATAAATCTAACGAGCGCCCAATTTCAATGCAAATACATAAAGGATTGGCATTATATCTTATCATAGATATGTATGTAAATTATAAGAGTATATTTGTGTTGAAATTATATGATACTCCTTAAAGTATATTTCATAGAGCAGGGTTACATCATAAATTATAGATAGGAGTTGATATTATACCAATTTATGGACATGGAAATACCACAAATCATATATTTGATATATAGTTTTAAATGATATAATATATCCAAAACCTATATCATAGACCTATGCCATTATGTATGCACAATATGATATAATATAAAATCAAAAAAAAATATTTTATAGATTTGATATAGGCTCAAAATCGATATATCATATATATTGATATATCATATCATATTTTATGATGCTGTATACCTCTTAATGAATGCACAACAAGAGCAATATATATATATACTCTCAAAGATTGTAGAATTACTATAGGTCCAATTTATGATCAGATGAATGCACTGAAATAATATGAGACATTATCTACTGGCATATCCTTGACATACTGTAAACATCAGACTGTTATATCAAATCAAGAATATTATGTATACTTCTCCAAGATATAATACCATATGAATGATATGATAATACAATATCGAACGTGTAATAAATGTTTTATATCTAAATTATAAAGATGTTTATATAGATGGATGGGGAGAGAAAATATGAGTGTTATGTATACACTCTAAAACGTATATAAACTGTATATCATATCAGAGTTTTATAATATACACTCTTCAATGATATAATACCGAATCTTAGATAAGTGCACACAGGGGGCTCATTTTTGCACTAGGTAAATGCTTATTCTTGAAATTGGGCGCAATCGTCATTCAGTTGTTTTTTCTTAACAATTTATAATATATTTAAAATATTTATTGTTTCTTTTTTTGCTTTTCTTAATTGCTGAAGAAATTTGTTCGGTATTATATATTAATTTTTATTGCTTTTGTTTGGTTTTTGATTTTCGGTTTTCCCACTTTGCTTTTTCATAATTTTCAGCTACTGAAGTAGTCTCGTTGTTGCATGCCTCACTCGTTGCATTTCATGATAAGAATTAAGTATTTTGTTGTTTAATTATTTGATTGTTTAATTAAGTACTAGATAATATGGCACACAAAATAGTATTAGTCAAAAAACTCACTACAGCACATGTTAAATATTATTTTTATATTGTTTCATAAATAAAGAAAACAAAATTATAAATCAAGAAAAACTGGAAGCATAACGTCGTGGAATTCTAATGTAATACTTTATAAAGTTTGCTCTTAAGTACTGGCCGCGGTTCACAATAATAATAATAATCATAATGATAATAATAATAATAATAACAATTGAATTGATGTAAAAAAGCATCTAAAGGTTATTTAAGTAACAATTAATAAAAAGTCTTTTAAATCAACTACGAGATATTTCTTTGATATCAAAGCTAAAGAATCTGCTTCGATAGAATCTTGAGTTCATTTAGTATTATAATATTACGTATGTGTGGGCTTATTAAGATTTATATATTGAAAACCTTTTATTCGATACTATATGATACGATACGATTTGATTCGGTTTGATTTGATTTGTTTAACTTTGCTTTAGACCTGTCTTTCAAGAAAAATTGCGTAAGGAAACTCTCGGAAACTCTTAGGGCGCTACATAATAAATAATTTCTAACTCTGGTGCAGACTTTCATATTTGTTTTGATTTTTCAAGGGGGGCTTGTTTACATATCGTGAGCGTAACTATCTAAAGAAGTGATCACATATGTACATAATGGCTGAAGAAACGATCCTTGATATCCGCATGCTTGATCTTGCAATGGGCCTTCATATTGTCGCGACGCGTGAACTTCTGGCCACAGACGGGGCACTCGTGGCTCTGCGGCCGATGGATGTTGGCGTGATGCCAGCGGTTCGACACGATCTTGTTGCAGCTGACGCAGCGGTAGAGCGTGGGCAGCGTACCAGATAGCTGTACGAACAGTGTTGAGTAGTCTATGTTATGATCCCGACGATTCGCAGCCGCTGCCGCTGCCGCTGCTGCTGCTGCCGCCGCCGCCGCTGCTGCAGAGGTTGATGATGAGGAGGAGCTGGGTTGCGGCGAGAGTGAACCAATGGCGGGCTGATAATGCGGCGATTGCTGCGAAGTGCTGGCTGCCAGGGAGGACGACGACGATGACGGCGGCGGTGGCCCATGATGTCCATGATGTCCATAGCTGTGCGCCAACTCCAGCTGCTGTGCTCCATTGGGCGACTGCTGCAGCGCATAGCTCAAGTGCGATTGCTGCTGCTGTTGCTGTTGCTCTCGATAGCTGCTGCTGCTGGAGGTGGGCGTGGGCGAGTAGGCCGCTGCTGCCTCAGCGCCGCACAGAGTTTCCGCTGCGGTAGCGGCTACAACTCCGCTGCTGTGCCGGCCCAGATTCAGCGCTGTTTGCGGCGCCGTCGCCAACTGATGCTGATGCGGATGCGAATGCGGATGTGGATGCGGATGTGGATGCGGATGATGTTGCTGACGATTGCAGCGTATGGCGCGCATATTGCGCTCCTTGCACTTGTACTCGCAGTTATAGCTATTGTCCATATACAGATCTGCTGCGGGCATATCCTCGTCGTGCGGCGCATAGATGATGGCGCGCCTGTATTTGGGCGTGGCATGATGATAGGCGAGTGTTGCTGCCGCCTCTGCCTCCTCATCGACGTCCACATCCTGGACGACGGCGACGGCCACATCGATCTCGACATCGTCGTCCGCTTCCTGCTTGCGGGCACTGTTAAAACATTTAACGCGACCTGCAAACATTTGCGTTTCGTATAATGCGTTATCACTGTGGCGATAGGTTTATTTATTTTTTTTGATTTTTTAGCGGGATTTGCCGAGTGCGTGGAATGCAATGCCTGGGGCCAAATTGGGGGATGCGCGCTCGTTTACATTCCATGCGCACAGTGGGCTCTGGCCAATTGGTAATTGGTAAGTGGAACTGAATAAGGCAGGCCATAAGGATTTGCATATTGTATATATGTATGTAGATATATATATGGTATATGGTATAGGTAGACATAAGTAGATGTAGATATATATGTTGATTTGGATTTTTTTTTTTTTATATATATTCTTTTGGTTATGCAAACGAATTGAAACAGCTACAAGAATAATTCTTTAGTGTTTTTTTTTTTTTTTGCTTTTCAGTTTTGGTTTTTGTTTTTCATTACATTTCAATCGAGTTTTTTATGCGTGTGTATAGATTGTAGGTGTTTTGGCATTAAAGAAAAATAATTAAATGCATTGAGAACAAAGTGGAACTAGGAATGAAGCTGGCTGGCTTAAATAGCTTTGGCACTAAGAGGATTTCAAATCATATCGAAATAACGTAGGAAAACATATTTATATCAAAATCAATATATAAACAATAGCATCTTAAGAACAATTTGTAAACTAAAATTAAATTAATAATTAAACACAAATGAAAAATCGTAACTTAAGGCTAAAGAAATTGGTTTTTGGTTTTGGTTTCGGCAGGTTTTTTGGTATTCAGGCTCTATTCAAACAATTCAGCTATATAGAGAGTATTTGTATAAGTGTGTGTAGATATTGCATTTAAGGAAAACAAATTAAAAAACTATGAATAATTATTAATCTCTATATGTTTGTGTGTCATTTGTGGACATTTACATAATATAATACAATTTTTGTTGTTGTCGATTTGTACGATTTATTGATCTTTCATTTTAGTACTTCAATGTTGCAACAAATGTTTCAGCAATAAACGATATATATATTCTTTATAATACTTAATTTTATATTTTATATATATTTTTATTTTTTTGCTTGATGCAAATTCCAGTTCTTTTCTCTTCTTTTTTATGCCTAAGTGTGGGTAGCTTAAGGGGAATTTTTGTTAGATAAGGTACGTTGATAAGTTCTTTCAATTTTTGCGCAATTTGTAACCAATGTGCATGGTAAATCCTTAGCTTTGTAAAGACCGTAAGACTAAATTCACACACACACACACACATACAGACTCTGCATACACACACACACGCACAGTACACATACACATATTAATATAGTATATGCATAAACAGAGAAAGAGAGAGATAGAGAGAGAGAGACGAAAAGAAAAAAAAAACACACACATTTAGTGAATCGACAAAAACCAATTACAATTAAACAGACAATCATTTACATCTCGTTAAACAGTGGTGGCAAATAAATTGAGCTCACATCAAATTATATATGCAGCAAGTAGGTTAGTGTAAATATTGAGCAGAAAAATCATATATATATTTATGTATATAGAAACTGAATGAATTTTGAAGCTGTGGCGTTTTTTTTTTTTTTTTTTTCTTTTTTTGTTATTTGTTTATATTTGTATTATTGTTGTTATTAAAAAACAAAACTTTTTTATAGTTTCTTGTATTTGGTTTTCTTACCGAAAAAATTATTTGGTATTCGATTTTCTTAGACAATAAGTTGCAACATTAAAGACGAAAATAGAGTTGAAAAATTTGAGGTTCTTGTTTCAGTTTAGCACAGTTATTAATAGAGTTAATATAACAAATAAATAACGGAGTTTTCAATACGCGCACAAAAGGCTTCAAAGATACAAAATATATAAAAATTAGTTGTAGAAAAAAAAATATAATAATAATATTAAGCAGTTAGTTGATGTAAGAAAGAGAGGGAAGATTTTAGAAATATTTTTAAGAACTATTTGAGTGTGTGTGTGCGTGTGTATGAGTGTGTGTGTTTTTTCTGTGATCTATTTTTTATTACTTATGTTTTTTTTTTTTTAGTTATTAGTGCGTGTTTTTATTTTTATTATTTTTTATATCATTATATGTGAGCCAATTTGCTTAAACTGAACGTAATTTGAATGGATGTCAGCGGAGGCATTTCCTATATAGATTTAACTATGAATTACAGAAATCTTGATAACTTAATGTAAATGGAAAAAAACATAAATAATATATGTATATTAACTATGTACTCATATATAATCATAATAATAATAGTGGGCGTGTGTGTATGGGTCATCTAAACATGCAACATGCGGCAACATACAAAGTAAACTAAACCGATTACGATAACGATTACGATTACGATAAAAGTCAGCTAATATAGTTTGCGCCTACGATTAAAACAAAATACGATACGACAAAACAAACAAACATAATTCATGTACTACAAATATATGTATATATACATATACATAATGTATATAAAGTATATATATATATATATATACATAGCAAAGACTCTATTTGGTAGGAGAGGTGTTGATCTGTTGCTCTAGCAAATGACATTTCCTTCTCGATTTCGCTTAAGAGCTAACATTCAGAGCGCCAATAAAAATATTGAAAAAATAATAATAATAGAAGTAATACATATTGGGGAAAAGAAATAGATAAATACATAAATACAAAAGCATAAATAAATCGGGTAAATCAAAATTGATATATATACTATATACTATATATGGCGATATAGGTTAAGTAGAACTTGTCTTGTGTGTGGTGGGGCTGGTAGGGTTGGGCGGGGGAGTTGTTGTTGGGGGTAAGAAAAGTGTGAGAGAGGCCCTTGAATTGGTTTCGAGTCGGTTCCGATTCGCATGGATAATAATTTATTTATATATATATATATGTATATGTGGAGACGATCAAGTGCATGCAGGATAACTACATAAATATATAGATTCTACGATTTGGCTGCGCACAGTGCATCTAGTGGGCCGTTTTTTACCCCACTGTGCACAACCAGTCGCAGGCTACGCTGGGGATCGTTAGGAGCGGGTTATGCGAAAACAAATTAAGCTAAGAACTACGGATTTACAGTTGTTTTACTTTTTGTTCTACGAATTTTCCTTCGGACTCAATTAAATAAAAAAAAGAAAGGTTTGTTTTTTACAGAAATCAAAAGCTAATTAAAAATTTTTACAAATTTTGCTAGATATATTTTTTTATCATTTGATGATATTGCTTAATTTCGAGTGCATTAGCTTCAAAGCACAGATAGAAAAAAATAATGAAACACATATATACTATAGATATACATATATGTATATATATATAAAGAGAGATTTATACATATGCATATATATATGTATATATATGTTGATAGAGCTGTGTGTGTGTGTTACTCACCGTCAATGTTGTCCGTCTGATCGAGTGGCATCTGTTTGGCATCGTTGTGCTCCTCCCGCGCATCGGCGGCCTGCAGCTGTTGGGTTAACAGCGTGGACATGTCCTCGTGCATTTTGAGAGCAGCGCTCTGCATGTGTGAGAGAGAGAGAGAGAGTGGGCAGAGGGAGAGACAGAGAGAGAGAGAGAGAGATTGTGGTATAGATTTGTGCACAATTGTCATTGCTTACACTCGTTTATATTTATTATTTTTATCAATTGCAAAATGCTTCAAGCTGCTTACATTAATTACAAAAGCTAACTACTACTAAACCTGAGCAAGTGCAACATGTGTGTGTGTGCGTGTGTGGGTGTGTACATGTGTGAGCTGGTTCAGGTGCTATCCTCGCCCACATTGATTGTTATGATATCTGGTGGAGCAGCGCGCTTAGCTGCGCTGCCGCTGCCGCTGCCACTGCCACTGCTGCTGGTGTTGCTGCCAGTGTTTATCCTGTTCTGCTCCTGCAGCTCGCGCTCGTAGCAGAGACGATGCGACTTGCACTTGTTGTGATGATTGACAATCTCCAGTCGGAAATTGGAGTTGCCCTCCACAAAGGAGGTGCGTATGTCGGCCAGCTCGTTGCTCCACTTGCGGCAATGCTTGCAGTACATCGTATTGGCCAGCTCATCGAACTGCAGCCAATCGAACTGATATAGCCAATTGGCGCGAAAGCGTCCGCTCTTGCGCGACGAGGTGCCCGTCGTGGCGGCTGGCGGTCCCAGCAGCTTCTTCGGATCGGGCAGATGTTGTTGTTGCTGATGCTGTTGTTGCTGCTGCTGTTGTTGCTGTTGCTGCTGTTGCTGCAACAGTCGCTGCACTGTGCTGTCCAGCGTCTCCTGCTGATATTGCAGTTGCAACGTCTTGAGCTGCGCCTCCACCGCATGCTGCAGCAGCAGCTGATGCATTGAGGTCTCTGCCTTGTTCTCAGTGTCTTTTGTGCAGCTGGCTTTGGGCTACACCAAGCGCAACGCAACAGAAATAAGAAACACCAACAGAAAAAGGAGCCAAAAGAAAACAAAATGGAAACAAAAAAAGACAACTTAAGAAAAAATTGGCAAAACTACTGGTAGAAGGAAGGATTTGACGCTGTTTCTTTTATGTTTTTATGTTTTTTTCTTTTCTTTTTTATTTACTTTAACGAAAATTGTTGAGATTTTTTCTTTTTCTTGGCCGATATTCCATTTCGAGAATGTGAATCTAAATGTGTCTTTCATAAACGAGCCAAACAACCAATCCTTCGTTCGCCCTTTTGCTTTACGCGATTTTTTCTTAAATTTTAGAAACAACAAAAAATACAAGAAAAATCAATAACAATTTGTGAGCAGCTCTTGGGTTTCTCTTGAAGCATTTTGCAATTGGCTTAAATTATGCAAATATATATATATATACACAAAAAAATATTTCAGGTTCATAAAAAAAAAGTAAATTAAGCTGCATTTTCTTTTTTATATACTTTTTGTTTTTGGTTTTAGAACAGAAATTGGAACCATCGCACCGGTCCAAAGAAAAAACCTTAACAATTAACTTAGCTAACTACAAATTATGTGAAAATTGAAAGTAAAATGGATCGGGTCGGGCAGTACGCATCTAGATAGGTCTATGGAGAGCTCTACTTACCGGCAAGTATTCGGGTGGCAGGCCGACGTGATGCTCGCGATGTTGTTGCTGCTGTTGCTGTGCATCCATTAGCTCCTGCTTAATACTTAGCGACTGGCTGAGGCCGCTTAGCGCACTGGCCGCGCCCACATTGCCGCCGCCCAAATGGCCAACGGTCATCGAGAGCGGTGAATCGCGCCGACAGCCGCTGCCGCCGCCGCCGCCCGCATCCTCTGACTCGGATGTGCTGCCGCCCGTCTTTGGCACCGGACTCGACTTGAAATTGGTGGCCTGCCGAAACGAAAATTCAAACAACGAATTAGCATACTCTTCCCTACATTTCAGTTTGTTTGTCATTTCTTTAGAGGCATATCTGATAACCATATAATTTCTACAGTTTGTTTTGGGAGAGCCGCACGTGCCTAGCGATAAGTCAGACAAAAATACACTTCAAACACTACATACACACACACACATATATATCATCAAAGATCTGTAAGCTGATAGGTTCAACTGTTGGGGCTCGTCTGACTCGCGTCTATCGCACCGGCGAAACATAAATGTTGTTTATTCACATTTGAACGGACGTTGATAAGGAACACCGATTCGCCATCACAGTGCAAATACTCTATAATTCATATGCTATATATAACTATATATTTGACACACTATATGCACACACACGTTCGCTCTATATCGCATTTCCGCTGACTATTGACAACTTTTACAGTTCGATAAGATTTTCATCAGTTACTTTAGCGTAAACTGTCAATAAATCGCCGACAAGAATTTTCGAGTTTGGAAATCGATTAGTGTAATCAATTCTTTCCTACTAACTGTATGTCAATATGTATTCTTTTACGTTATATCACTAGCTACTTGTTATGTAATCAATCTTCAATCGATTATTAGCTGTCAACTTGCTATCGATTTAGTATCGATCTGTACCTGATACTGTATCTGTATCTGTAAATGTATATGTATCTGTATCTGTATCTGTATCTGTATCTGTATCTGATTCTGTATCTGTATCTGTATCTGTATCTGTATCTGATTCTGTATCTGTATCTGTATCTGTATCTGTATCTGTATCTGTATCTGTATCTGTATCTGTATCTGTATCTGTATCTGTATCTGTATCTGTATCTGTATCTGTATCTGATTCTGTATCTGTATCTGTATCTGTTTCTGTATCTGTATCTGTATCTGTATCTGTTTCTGTATCTGTATCTGTATCTGTATCTGTATCTGTATCTGATTCTGTATCTGTATCTGTATCTATATCTATATCTATATCTATATCTATATCTATATCTATATCTGTATCTGTATCTGTATCTGATTCTGTATCTGTATCTGTATATGTATCTGTATCTGTATCTGTATCTGTATCTGTATCTGTATCTGTATCTGTATCTGTATCTGTATCTGTATCTGTATCTGTATCTGTATCTGTATCTGTATCTGTATCTGTATCTGTATCTGTATCTGTATCTGTATCTGTATCTGTATCTGTATCTGTATCTGTATCTGTATCTGTATCTGTATCTGTATCTGTATCTGTATCTGTATCTGTATCTGTATCTGTATCTGTATCTGTATCTGTATCTGTATCTGTATCTGTATCTGTATCTGTATCTGTATCTGTATCTGTATCTGTATCTGTATCTGTATCTGTATCTGTATCTGTATCTGTATCTGTATCTGTATCTGTATCTGTATCTGTATCTGTATCTGTTTCTGTATCTGTATCTGTATCTGTATCTGTTTCTGTATCTGTATCTGTATCTGTATCTGATTCTGTATCTGTGTCTGTGTCTGTATCTGTATCTGTATCTGTATCTGTATCTGTATCTGTATCTGTATCTGTATCTGTATCTGTATCTGTATCTGTATCTGTATCTGTATCTGTATCTGTATCTGTATCTGTATCTGTATCTGTATCTGTATCTGATTCTGTATCTGTATCTGTATCTGATTCTGTATCTGTATCTGTATCTGTATCTGTATCTGTATCTGTATCTGTATCTGTATCTGTATCTGTATCTGTATCTGTATCTGTATCTGTATCTGTATCTGTGTCTGATTCTGTATCTGTATCTGTATCTGTATCTAATCCTGCATTTGTATCTGTATCTATATCTGTAACTCTACATCTCTATCTGTAGCTAAACTTGCATTCCAGTAATATTTCGAGCAGTTTAAAAAGCTTTGATCAAATATTAAAAAAAAAAGTTTGTTGTTTGAATAAATTGTAAAGTTTAGTTATGTAGAAAAAACGTTAAAGTTTAATTATACACAACGAACATAAGTAAATTAAGTTATAGGCATTAGATTCTATGAAAAAAAGGAAGACTTTAGAATAAGTATAAATGGTCTATAATATCGAATCAATTTTTTTTTTTTTTTTTACACAAATTATAAAATGTAGTAACTAAGTAGAAAACTCGTACTATTTGGATTTTACACAACCATCTAACCTATCTATAATATATCTATATCATATCTGTAACATATTCGCTATATATCTACAGATATACCTCAATAGCAAACTTGTCTTTTCCTAACAACTTTGCCCATTCACATTTATAACTCGAATGCTCGACTCACCTGAGAGTCCTGCGCGTAGTGTCTGTCCTGTATGTGGGCCGCATTCGCATGATGGCTCGAGGACAACGAATTATCACAGTTGGATGATGAGTTCTTACGTCTGCGCTTACTGCTACACAGCTGATCGACGGGCGTGGTGGACAGCTCTCTGTCCCGTTCTCTGTCTCTGCTCTCGTTGCGCTCTCGATTGTTGTTGTTGCTGCTGCTGTTGTTGTTGTTGTTATTATTGTTGTTGTTGGTGCTGCTACTGCTGCTATTGTTGTTGTTGCTGTTGTTATTGCTGCTGTTATTAGTATTATTATTATCCTTGGTACTGTAGTCCAGCTGCAACAGCTCATCCCGACTATCGGCACGCTCCAGCGTGCCCCGTTCACTGCCCCGATCGCTGCCAGCATCGCCGCGACTGTTAAGAGCATCGGCGCTGGCGCTGCGATTCGCAGCAGCAACGGCAGCGGCCATGGCAGCCGCCGCGGCACTGGCGCTGCCCACGCTGGGAGATCGTTCGCCGGCGCTGGTGGTCAGGCCGAGAGCAGCGGCAGCTGCATTCACATTGCCACCGGCTGCTGCCACAGCGGCAGCGGCAGCAGCAGCCGCCGCAGCAGCGGAGCTGCGCTCGCTCAGACTGAGGCTGCTGCTGCTGCGCTGCAGATCGTCGCGCAGGTCGCGTTCGCAGCGGGAGCCCATGCCGCCATAGCTGGGGCCACGCCCAGTGGGCGAGCTGGCAGCCGAGTCGCGCAGCTTGTCGCAATCGGAGCGATAATTCAGATTGTTGTTGTCTGTGAGACCGCGCACCTGTAAAGCCACACGACAAAGGCTCATCAGTATAGAGTATGGGAAATTTGATAATGGTTTTGATCACACGCACCTGCAGACTCTCGGCCGTCTTCAGGAACATCGGCAGCGAGCTCTGACCCACATTGACCTCGCCCTTGTACATGAAATCCAGCAGGGAGCGCATCTCTGAGTATCGGACATCTTTCAAATATATGATGGGATGTGGATGCTGATTCTGCAGGAAAATCGTCTCGAAATATGGACTGCAGGCTGACAGTATGGTTTGATGTGCCTGCAAGAGAAGAATCGAACAGCTATAGTTTCCATATTCTATAATTTAATGAGATTCGGGAATGTACCTTGACTGTTTCACCCTCACAGGCGAGGGTGACATCGCAGAGCGCCTCGCGCTGCAGCAGCGAGGTCAGCACCCCGGTCAAATTTGTGGGATGATTGTTCCAGCGTAAACAGAATTGCTGGTCCATAGCTCCTTGTTCAGTGTTGTACCTGTTGAATGTAGAAATGGAGACCTGTTAATTATATATATTCAAAAAGTCCTATACTAATTATAAAGGAGTTTACTTATTATAACTGAAAATTCCATATACAGGAAAATGGGTCAGTGGAATGAAAACTACTATTATAATAAAATAAAATATATATTTCATAAAACCAATTTAAATTTCCTTCAATTGGTTTCTAATTTAAATACTTCAAATATCATTTCTAAGAACTTCATGATTCCGCTCTGCAAATCCACTGTTAGCCGTGAAAACTAGGTAAGTACAAAAAAAAAAAAAAACAAAAAACAAACAAACATATGCAACTCACTTATTACACAATTTCATGTCACTCAGCATATAATTGTCATCGCCTGAACTATAGAAATTTCTATAAACATTACTATGTCGACTTATTCAACTTTGATAGGAATACGAAAATATTGTCGCTCATATCAGCATAGGGGGCGAGAGGAAACAAACAAAAAATAATGTTAATATTTAGTCTATTAACACATTTGCAAGCCAATTTGTGGCTGCAAATCTAAAAAAAATAACATCTGGATCTCGTGATAATTTTTGAGAGAAGTATAGCCATAATTACCCGAGAATTCGAGAAAAAACTGATGTTAATTTTCTATATATCTATTTGGTTAGGTGTATAGCTGGTGGCTTCCTTTTATAGTTCTATGCGATGGCCCACATTTGCCGAGCCTTCAGTAGAGACATTCGCACTTAAACAAATAGAGATCGACAACTGTACAATTTGTGTTTTCTTATCGCCAAAATAATCGAAAATAGAACTCTGAACTCATTTTTTTGAAATTTTAGCACTTCTTCAGTGCTATTCTAAATTTAGATTTTAGTTCCTGACAACTTTCGCTCGTTATTAACTGATATCAGTGCTTAGTACGGAAGAGGAAACGGAAACAACTCCCACTTTTTTCTTCTATTTAGCTCTGATATCATTATCACTGTCTATAGGCATCAGACAAATTGTAATATGTCATTAAACACTATTTTTTTCCATTAGAATTGAGCGGAAGTTGTGCGGTTGCTGGGCCTACATTATTAATTGCATTTCCGTTAGCCGATAACGGGCCAAAGGCGTGCGCCATGCGCCCTCTCATTCTCGCACGCCGCGTGTCTTGCGGGAAGGGTGCGTGCGCACTGCGCAGTGGTGTGTGGCGTGTTAATTGCCATTTGTTGCCGCCATGTTTTGACTGCTGCTGGCTAACTGTTAATTGCTCGAGCAAATTTTGCATGAAAATATTGCTGTAAGCTGGAAGGGGTTAAGTGCACATTGGCTTATGTTTTGCGGCCAATTGTAATGGCATAGATAAGCTAATGCTAATTTATGTGTGCTCCACAAACACATAAGCAAACCAACATATATACATATGTATGCATTCTCCAACCTTCATAGCCACCCTCGCTGGCACTATTTATGTACATATATACATGCGTATGTAAGTCACATATACATATGCGTTGGCTCTATTTTATGTTATTTTATTTTTTTATTTATTTACTTTTTATTTTTTACAACGCGCTTTAATCTTAACTGCTTTTGGGCAAAGTTCTAATGCAGCGCACAGCAGCGGAAGAAATGGCGCTGCAAAGAGCGGGGGGAGAGACAGAGCTGATAAGAAATACTTTTGCTTTTCTTTGTGCTTTGTGTATGTTTCAAATGCAAAGAGCGCACACGAGAGCGTGAGAGCGAACAAGCACGTGAGAGCGCTACACAGAAAGCTTTTCAGTAAGAGAACTTATGAGTACCGTTGTTGTTGTTGCCGCTGCTGTCGTCGCTGACGACGCGCGCGCAGCTTAACAAAATAAATAAACAAAACGTCAAAGAACTTTTTCGCAAATGTGTGCGAGCGAGCCAGCGCGAGCGCCGCAAATTGAGGGTGTGCGACTGAGGTGGACTATCGCTAGAATGTGTGCTTACGTGTAAGTGTGTATGTGTGAGCAGTAACAATAACAATAATAACCATTACAACTACAAGCTCTGTGTGTGCGTGTGCGCCATGGGGCCCGGCGCTGTCGTAAGCGATTTTTTATTTGCGGCGCCGACTGCGACGCCCGCAATGTATTTTTTCTTGTTTTTTTTTTTTCATTTATATTATTATTTTATTCTCTCACTGTGTTTGTGTGGCTTATAAAAATTTAATAGCACAAGCAAAAATATACATGTGTATGCACAAACACACACACATGCATACAACGGGCATTAAACTATCTCTCGCAGAGAACTTTCGCTTTCAGCAGAGAAAACTTTTGCAATAACTTTTGCTGTTAATTTTGTTCGCATTTTTATTTATTTTACTTTTTTTCCGATTTTCTTTGTTTTTTTTTCCTGCTTTCTGCAAACGTTCTAAATTTACAGAGAGGCAGCGCAGATCACGCGGCTTTCATTGGCTATTGCAATTTGATTTTCATACATATGGAAATATATAGAATATATTCTTATCGAATTATCATACACAGATTTCACACTTTTTACAACAAATTCTATGCTAATTGAGCACAATTTACAATTTTATTGAATACTATTTGAAAATGGAGCACGCACAAATCACATATGAAAATATGCGCCTGAATGGAAATTTCTATTTGCTGCTTATTACATAATTTGCACATGGAGATTGTAAGGTAAGCTATTTATTGGGAGGGGGAAAATATGATAGCAGCTAAAGCTTCCAGCAAACTCTTTAATTACACTGAATAAATATTTGAAATGGAAAATGAGAAGTTATATGAACTTGAGAAACAAATAATACACTATAATCATTATAGCCGATCTCTGAAGACAATTTTGTGTAAATAGATCTTAACTTAAAGATATACATATATAAATTGATTTACAAATATTAAATATATGTTAAGAACAACACATTTCAATTCACATCGGAACTGTAAGAAGTCAATCAATATAATAGCAATACATATTCTAATTCTATAATTCTTCCCATATTTATCAAAGCATTAAATTATTGTAAAGTCAGTATTGAGGGTATCTTCTAGTCAAGCACTCCCGTTTGCAGCATTCAAGCTTGCTTTAGCATAAGTCACTTAAACAATTAAGCTTACAAGTTTTCAATTAATAATTTAAATTATCTATACAAATGTTAATAAGGCACATAAATTAATAATAAGCAATAAATAAATTAAGATTTATATCGGCGGCGCCAGCTGAATTCCATAAATTAGCAAGACAAAAAAAAAAAAAAATAAAATATAACGAAATGCATTTTCAGTTTCATTTTTATTTTCGTTTTCATTGACGCGAATTGCAGTTTATAAAGTGATTCACAATTTGCAGTTCTCATTTTCACTTGCACTTTTCAATGCAATGGCCAAGCCCCCCTCCCCCGACCCCTCGGCCCACCCCTCGGCCCACCCCTCGACCCTCATCCCCCACACAGCTCCCCACCAACGTTTAATTAATGGGGTGCAATGGCAGTAGCAAAACTTTTACTTTCTGCTGCTTACGTCAAATTGTACAAGTACATATATGTATATATAGAATATATTAAATATATATGTATGTGAATGCTTATCAGCGTTGCAGGCAAACGTAGAACGAGCGTTGAAAAAAAAACACTTGAGAACACAAACAGAGCCAAACAAAAACAAAAGTAAAGAGAGTTTTTTTTTTTTTGTTTTTGCTTTTGGGGAGGGTCGAGTTGAGCGATCAGCAAATTGCGCAATATGTTAAATATATATTTATATATACATATATGTATGTGTGTGTGTGTGTATCTCCGCATTATCCGTGCGCTGTTTGCTTAGCAAAGCGCGATGCTGTAATAGATACGCAGCGTGCCGAGACCCAGAGCCTGAGCCAGAGCTGTTAAAGACGTTTTATAGGACCTCTTAACAGAATGACATTTATATTTATTGCTATTTCCCTCGCTTGTGTGAACTTTTATTCTAGCTTTCGTTTCATATCAGAGCGTAAGAGACTCGCCTGCTATAAATCAAAATAATTGTATTCCTTATCGATATTTATTTGGGAACTATTACAACATCCGAGCATTATAAATAGATTGTAGAAGAAAATCTAAAATGAACTGAAATTTATGACAAAAATAAATAGAAAATAGATTAAAAACACTTTAAAATGTTAAGATTTTTAGTCTCAATAAATAATAATAATAAAAAAAAATAAAAATAAAAATAAATACCAAGTTCTAATCTAAACAGAAAAGACAAAATAGATAAATAAATGTTACATACAGAAATATGATGAAAATTTAATGAAATTAATTCACAATCAAATAAATAAATTTCCAAAAAAAAATTAACAAATATTAAAATATAAAATTTTCATTTGAGTTAATGATTAAGAAAAATATGATACAAATTAAATAGAATGAATTAAATGAGTTGAAAAAAATATATAAAATATTAAAAGTAACTGTCTAATACGTTAAATTAATTTCAATTAAAGTATGTAAAAGGTAGATCAATAAATAATAATCTATGCAACGCGGTTTTAGATCAGCTAACAAACTCTAATGCAGATGCAAATAGAGCTATACGCTAGATGGGCAGCACACGCCTATTGTCACGTGCCCGTTGGCTACACATACGCCTGGACGTGTGTGTGTGTATACTTAGATAATCAATGCTAACAATACACACGCACACACACACACACTGTTACACACATTGATACAGCTACAATTGCCAACACACGCGTCCCACGCGGCGTATCAGCAATGGCCTTCAACTTTTAGTTAGCTGCGCCTTATCGTGCGCAGCAGCGACGTCGGCAGCGCTGCTGCTGTAACAGCCAAATAGTTTTTCAATTTACACGTTCTACATGGCTGAGAGCGCGAGAGTGAGGGAAACAGAGGCAGAGGCAGAGCGAGAGTGAGAGAGAGAGAGAGAGATAGGTATAGCTGAGAGAGATACACGAGCACATCAAGTGCTGTACGGACGGACCGATAATAATTATAAATACAAAGTAGTTTGTTGATATTTGTTATTGTTGTTGTT